TTGTTGGAAAGAATTTCTCAGTCACCTCCTCATCTTTAACTGCTCTCACAAATAACTCCTGGTGCACCGGCTCTTGTTGGCTGTGGAACTCTTTCAACAATTGACATGAAAGGTCTGATGCTTCTTAGCTCTTTCTGGCATGTACAGTTCATAAACCACTTTACTCACTTGTTTGGTGATCTCATATGGTCCATGCCATTTTGTCAGCAGCTTGTTGTCGCTGGTAGGAAGCAATAACAGAACCTTCTGTCTCTGGCCTTCTGATCGTACCACGTCTTTTGATGTTGAGCTGCTTTCATGTTGTCCTGTGCAAAAGATGCCATTTCCTGCAATTGCTCTCTCATGTTGATGACATATGCTGCAATGTTTTCACCCTCTGGCTTATCATCTTCCCAGCAGTCCTTCAGTAGATCCAGCGAACCTCTCACTTGACGCCCATATAACAGTTCAAAGGGTGAGAAACCTGTGACACTTGTGGAACCTCCCAGTAAGCAAATAACAGGTACGGCACATAGAGTTCACGTGCCGTCTCACCTGATTCAATCTTCAGGGATCTGAAGCGGCGTCGATAAGTGTCAGCAGTGATTTCATATTTTGCCAAAATTGCCTCTTTCACTTTGTCATAGTTTTCAGAGTCCGCCATATCCATTAGAACATAGGCTGTGCGGGCCTTGCCGGTCAACAGAGGGACAAGACGAACCGCCCACTCATCTCTAGGCCACCGACACACCTGGGCCATCCTCTCGAACGTCGTCAGAAAATGCTCAATGTCATCATCAGTGGATAAAGGAAGAAATCTTGGCTCAATTATGGACCTGGAACCATGAGCCACCTGGACATCACCACCATCTGATTCTTCTGATTCATCTGCATGTGCTTCAGATGTCATGGGTCGAGCTTTTGTACTTGATACGTCAGGTTTTCCCAGTACAGCATGCACTTGAAGCTGCATTTGTTGAAATTGATGCTGTATGCTCTTCCACCTTTGTTCCTGGCGGGAAAAATCTTTATCAATCTTCAGGTCTCTAGCCACTTGAGACCGCATAATAGATTTCACCATCACCGCCAGTTCCTCCAACTTATCTTCAGGGTTGGTCGTTGCCATGGCCTCCATATCACAGGAAGCTCTAGCTCCTTCATCAGACTCTCCCTCTTGGCCTGGCTTTTCACCACCTCTGGTCAGCATCTTCTCACCGTGGCATGAATGGCAAACATCTGACACCACTTGTAACAAGGCAGCCTTTTGCGGTTGGATTTTACAGTGAGGAAGAATAGTTGAGGCAGAGTCAGGTGGAAATATTAGGGAATTGAAGGGTGGCTAAACTCTTAAATATATAATTAAAGGAAATAACGCACGGAGATGTAGTTCTTGCTGCTAGGCCATAGGCGAGCCAGAGATTTATTACACTACCACGGATTCCTCATTACAGTTTCATCAGTTCAATACTCAAAAATCTTCCAAAGTCTCAACAAAAAATCTCCCCGTATTCTAAACATCATCCTTTTTTATACACTCTTATCCTCACTGATGTGAGTTGGAAAGTTTCAACCAATGGGATTGCTACCCTTGATTTGCGTAAAGATTCTGGCGTGCCTTATACTAAGTGGGTATTGGACGACCTTTAAAATATTTGGACCTCATGAACTCAACATCTGCTCCATTTCAGAATTGCTGAATAGGACAGTTTATCTCAAATTGTTCTTATCTTTTCCAAACAAACATCCTTTCCAAGTCATTTTTTGCTTCCATTTGCGCTTTGCACGCAAATGGGAGGAAAGGAGTCGGTCAGGTCGACCTAGTGACGTGCCAAAATCTTTTTCACAAAAACAACTCCTTAAATAGTATTTCCGCTCTTACAGAAACAATAGTGGGTTTATTCTTCTCACTGCATCAACACACACACGCAATCATTTCACAGGTGAAACTGCAGGCTCAAATAGTCTCAGCTGTGACAGACCCAACCACCTCCAATTCATAGGGGGATTTCACTTAACCAATCTCCACCTATTTAAATAAAATACATTTTACTAAATATAAACATTTAAATTTACTTTTTATAAATATTTTATATTTTATCTTACACCAAATGAAACACACCACAAAACACCCATAAACAATTCTCTCCCCACACTTTTCAATGGCCTCTCCTGGAACCTATTAATGGTGTCTGGACCCCCAGGGTAGTATTTGTCCAAACACCCCAGAGGACACAGAAAAGACAGGTGAGTCACTTAATATCAGCACTCCACACTCAACAGATTATGCACAAACATTTGCTCAGTTT